GGTGAAATGTGTGTTATGTAATATGCACGTGGCAGGGCATGAATGATCAGTTAATTTACTCTTTTTTTTAAATCAACAGATCATTCCTAGCCATTAAAGGATTAACAGAAAATACGTTGGTGGATTAATCACTGTTGATGGATATGTCAAAAGTAAGTGTTTACATGTCTAGGTTTACTAAAGCAAAGGGAATACATTCATATCATGGCGTGAAGTGCCGATGTAAAACAACATACTTTGTTCAAGGGTTAATACGTTGATTGATTGCTAATTGTTATCTAACTCAATGGAATTTTTTAAGAACCGTGGACATTATGAAAATAGCTGTCACGCGGGCTTTCTCAGCTGACCTTTGAGACTTGACACGGATACAAAACACCTGAAACAAACTAAGTGATCAGTTGAGAAACGAACACGGGTTATAATATGCCGACACGATATATGTCCATATATATAGTTTAAAATATTTGATTGTTACAGAGACATGTGACATCGAATAAGTTTCTTTGTACAGCTGCAGATGTGTGGTATATTGTTCCTTTATGTGGATATTCAGGGATACATTCCTCAAACAAGGAAGCTGCCTAAAATTATACATATAAATTTGGTAGGTTGTTATTATGATATTTGCGTTTTGTTTTCCTTCATTTGTTGTGTCATTGAACAGATTCATTCTTGTTCCTCTACGTCTTGGTTGGGAAGTTCTTCGATGCGCGATTCTCGTTGTTTTCACAAGTGTTTTCCTTTGTAAGCGTGTATATATTACAGCCAATTTGTAAATTCATGTACAACCTACACTACCTGTACACAGAGAGATAGATCCAATGTATGTACAACCTACACTATCTGTACATAGAGAGATAGATCCAATGTATGTACAACCTACACTACCTGTACACAGAGAGATAGATCCCATTCATGTACAACCTACACTACCTGTACACAAGGAGATAGATCCCATGTATGTACAACCTACACTACCTGTACACAGAGAGATAGATCCCATTCATGTACAACCTACACTATCTGCACACAAGGAGATAGGGGGCGGTCGGGTAGCCTAGTGGTTAAAGCGTAAAACCATACTCACTCACTCACATGGAGGTAGATCCCATGTATGTACACACTACACTACCTGTACATAGAGAGATAGATCCAATGTATGTACAACCTACACTATCTGTACATAGAGAGATAGATCCAATGTATGTACAACCTACACTACCTGTACACAAGGAGATAGATCCAATGTATGTACACACTACATTACCTGTGAAAACAGAGATATATCCCATTTATGTACAACCTACACGGCCTGTACACAGAGATATAGCTCGCATGTATGTACAACCTACACTACCTGTACACAGAGAGGTAGATCCCATGTACAACCTACACTATCTGTACACAGAGAGATAGATCATATGTATGTACAACCTACTCTATCTGTACACAGGGAGATAGATCCCATGTATGCACGACCTACACTACCTGTACAAAGGGAGATCGATCCCATGTATGTACGACCTGCACTACCTGTACACAGGGAGATAGATCCCATGTATGTACGACCTACACTACCTGTACACAGAGAGATAGATCCCATGTATGCACGACCTACACTACCTGTACACAGGGAGATAGATCCCATTTATGTACGACCTGCACTACCTGTACACAGAGAGATAGATCCCATTCATGTACGACCTACTCTATCTGTACACAGAGAGATAGATCGCATGTATGTACAATCTACACTACCTGTGCACAGAGCGATAGATCCCATGTATGCACGACCTACACTACCTGTACACAGGGAGATAGATCCCATGTATGTACAACCTACACTGACTGTACACAGAGAGATAGATCCCATGCATGTACGACCTACACTACCTGTACACAGAGAGATAGATCCCATGTATGCACGACCTACACTACCTGTACACAGGGAGATAGATCCCATGTATGTACAACCTACACTGACTGTACACAGAGAGATAGATCCCATGCATGTACGACCTACACTACCTGTACACAGAGAGATAGATCCCATGTATGTACAACCTACACTGACTGTACAAAGAGAGATAGATCCCATGTATGTACAACCTACACTACCTGTACACAGAGAGATAGATCCCATGTATGCACGACCTACACTACCTGTACAAAGGGAGATCGATCCCATGTATGTACGACCTGCACTACCTGTACACAGGGAGATAGATCCCATGTATGTACGACCTACACTACCTGTACACAGAGAGATAGATCCCATGTATGCACGACCTACACTATCTGTACACAGAGAGATCGATCCCATGTATGTACAACCTACACTACCTGTACACAGAGAGATAGATGCCATGTATGAACAACCTACACTATCTGTACACAGGGAGATAGATCCCATGCATATACAACCTACACTATATGTACACAGAGAGATAGATCCCATGTATGTACAACCTACACTACCTGTACACAGAGAGATAGATCTCATGTATGTACAACATACTGACTATCTGTACACAGAGACATGGTGCCCATACAGAGACATAGAAGAAGCCCTCTTCACATCCCCAATGCCACCTGGCACTGGCACATGTTAGTCGTCATGTTCAAAAGAACAGAATCCCATCTCACTACTCCAGCACCTCAACACCCCAGAGTTAATTCACCATCGAGACAGAGAACAAGCAACAACTCCCCTTCCTGGACGTACTTGTATCGCCAGACCCCTACACAGGAAGTCTACTAATTCTGACCAGGAAATTCACTTCAACTCTATCCATCCCCCAAACGAAGTACGGCATCAACTTCACACTGACCAAGAGAGAAGAATACATCTGCTCCTGCAACTTTGACCTTAACCATGAGCCTAATCATCGGGAGCATGTCTTACCCAACCTTAACCAGTATCCTACCAAACTAGTCACACTCCAGCCCAAACCCAAACAACCCAGACCAGGATCCGCCCCCATCAGAATCACTCTACACTAGATTAAGCAAGACTTCACATCAAATCAGCAGATTACCTTAGCACCGGGCAGTCATTTATACCCTCTTCACTATCGCCCAATCCCTAAGTAGAATCGTCCACGCCAATGGCCGCAACCCTTCCCCCAACACGATGTGATCTGTAGTTACCCGCATCAAAGAACCTTAAACTTCAAAAGCCTGAGCAAATCAGCCCTCTCAGACCCCCGGCAAATGTTTTCCAACCATCAGTTTGACAAAGTCCAAACCCTCTCTACCAAACATCAGGTCTTCACAAAAAACTCTCACATAAAACAATAACATCCGCCGTCATCAACGTTTCATCAATAGAGATCAAGAGTATTACATCCAGTCTGCCTATGACGATCTTATCAAATAACACACACTTTCTAATGCATATGAGTAACCAATCGACTTGTTACAAGTCTTTGAATGGCATTTAGAGGTGACACACACAAGAGATAACTTATTGATGTCAACTTCTTTATTATTAGGAACACACGTTTCGGAGTACGTGCTTATTCCTTCACCTGGTGAATGAATGCTATGATGCAGAGAGAATATATATGTACATGTGAAAACCACACAAATAAATAGATAAAAATGGTGGAAACTTAACAATTCAACAGTTGAATAGCGGCTGATTGGTCTTTAGCAATGGACAGATAGAAGCCAGGAGATAAATTAGCAGTGCTTGGTAAACGAGCAATGGACAGATAAAAGCCAGGAAATAAATTAGCACTGCTTGGTAATGAGCAATGGACAGATTTGAGGGCAGAGGTGAATTACCCCTGGACAAATAGAAGCCAGCAGGATTAATTAGTCTTCATAGGGGCATAATGCGACAGATAGATCGTGGCACAGCTGAAGTAATCAATAAGTCAAGCACAAGGCAGATACGTTCCCTGGTCACGGTTCAGAGCCGGCTGGTATCTTCTGATGCCAATGCTCACTTGTACTTTCTAACTCCGAAAATGTAGCGTTCCTCGGAATAAAGAAGCTGACAACCATAAATACTCTCTCTTAGCCTGTTACAACATTTTAATCATCACTGTACATCTGACTTCATCAAATTATCTGTGTGCTACTTGTTATCCATTACCTGTTGTTGTTAATGTTAATCTGTTGCGTACCACAATATATATATGACAGTTGGTGATGATCTGTATGACAGTTGGTGATTATCTGTATGGCAATTGGATATTACCTGTATAGCAGCTAGTGATTATCTGTACGACAGTTGACCATTACCTGTATGCCAGTTAGTGGTTATCTATATGACAGCTGGTCATTATCTTTATGACAGTTAGTGATTACCTGTACGACCATTGGTGATTAACTGTATGACAGTTAGTGGTTATCTGTATGATAGTTAGTGTTTACCTGTATGACAGTTAGAGTTTGCCTGTATGAGAGTGTTGGTATATATGGTAGTTTGTGATTATCTGCGTGACAATTAGTCATTACCTGCGTGATAATTAGTGATTACCTGCATGACAGTAAGTGCATATCTGTAATGGCAGTTAGTGAGTTACCTGTATAACAGTTTGTGATTACCTGTATGTCAGCTGGTCATTACCTATATGGCAGTAAGTGTTTACCTGCGTGATAGTTAGTGATTACCTGTATTGAAGTTAGTCACAATTTGTGATTACATGTATGACAGTAAGTGAACATCTGTATGGCAGTTAGTGATTTACCTGCATAACGGTTGGTGATTATCTGTATGGCAGTTGGTCATTACCTGTATGACAATTAGTAATTACCTGTATGCCAGTAAAAGATTATCCATATGAGAGTTAGTGATTTACCTGTATGGCAGTTTGTAATTACTTGTATGACGGTTAGTGATTACCTGTATGACAGTTAATCGATACCTGTACAACAGTTGCTGACTACCTGTATAGCAGTTAGTCAATACATATATGACAATATATGTTAAGCAGTGAATACATGTATTACATCTGATCAATACCTGTATGACAGCCGGCTATTACCTGTATTTGCTGCACCGACCCCAGTACAAGAACTTGCACGACGTATAAGATGTCTTCCGGCGTTACTTGATGTTCGTGATGACATTTATCCTGCAACAAAGATAAACGTGACTGTGACTTGCACAACATGAAAGGAGTCTGTTGATATATGAGTTAACACATAATTAGGTAAGATTTCCAAGTTCATTTAACAGGTCATGGCAATGCTGTTCAAAGCAGTTTTTCTCGTGTAAAAAAAACATAACCCATTTCCTATTGATTCTGGCACTGCAGGGTTTCCATAATCCATGCAAATTGCTCAGATACTTTAAGTTATTCACGAATATCCTCGCCCATCCAAGTGAATAAAACGAATAAAAGTGACAAAATCCTTCCTACACCTATAAGAAAACTCTGCAAAAGCACATCATGAGTATGTGTTTTTGAATTAATTTCAAATATTCATGAAGCCAGGTGTTTGCAGAATGGTTCACGTATCCTGCTCCACCAGTGTCACCCGTCACAAATACATAAAAAAGCCAGTCAGTTGTCCACAGGCAACTTACTATTTCTAAATGTCAGTGAAACAAGGTGATTGTGGTAACTGCCAAGAAAAGTCAATGTTTTACCTGAAAAAAACATATGGTACAAGTGACAAAAGTGAATTGCATTGAACATAAGTTTTGTCATTGATTTGGGAATGTCCTCCACATCCACAGGCCTTGGATGCTGTAACAGCTTTTGAGCAAGAGTCGTAGGATGCTCTTTGAAATCTTCGAAGAATGAGCATGCTCGATTGTACCTCAAAACTTAGGAAATGAATACACAAACAGCAGGAACGTCTGAAATATTGCTCGACATGAATGGAAAATTGACTATTAGAAAGAATCTTTATACACAGACCTAATCATGACATCGATGATCGGAACTATTGACTCAATCCTTGGGAGGATGTGTAGAAGCAACCACATATATGCCATGAAAAGGGTTCTATTTCAAGTGTGCTCAATATATAAAAAAGGGTGACAACACACTAGTCTGTAACACACTCAGTGTAGCAAAAAAGTATGAATTATGGACCACAATAGTTCACTTTATGAAAACTAACCAGTTTCCATCCATTGTGATGGTGCTGGGCGCTCCATTGAAACACCGGGCTACAGTTGATCGGGATTCACCTGCCTGCATGCGGCCTTTGACCTTGATTCTTTGCACTTCTGTCAATCTTGGCATGTTGTTGAACTGTCACTGTTCGATTGACGCAGATGTCAGACAATCGAAAACCCTGTACTTTAACACCGTTCATAGTGCTGCTGCACGTGCAATACGTGCAGCTTCAAGACCAAATGATCACAAAAAGGACACGCAAACCATTAGTCGGGAAACATGTAAATTCGGAAAAGTTCGGACATGTCGGCAACAGTAAGGACAGGTCGGTAACAGTTGGGACATGTCGGCAACAGGCAGGACAGGTTGGCTACAGTTGGGAAATATCGGCAACAGTAAGGACAGGTCGGCAACATTAGGGACATGTCGGCAACAGTAGGGAGATGTCGGCAACACAACAGTGTAGCAAAGAAGAATGAATTATGGACCACAATAGTTCACTTTATGAAAACTAACCAGTTTCCATCCATTGTGATGGTGCTGGGCGCTCCATTGAAACACCGGGCTACAGTTGATCGGGATTCAACTGCCTGCATGCGGCCTTTGACCTTGATTCTTTGCACTTCTGTTAATCTTGGCATGTTGTTGAACTGTCACTGTTCGATTGACGCAGATGTCAGGCAATGGAAAACCCTGTACTTTAACACCGTTCATAGTGCTCCTGCACGTGCAATACGTGCAGCTTCAAGGCCAAATGATCACAAAAGGCAGGACAGGTTGGCAACAGTTGGGACATGTCGGCAACAGTAAGGACATGTCGGCAACAGTAGGGACATGTCGGCAACAGTTTGGACAGGTCGGCAACAGTAAGGACAGATCGGCAACAGTAGGGACATGTCGGCAACAGAAGAGACATGTCGGCAACAGTAGGTTAAGGCCGGTTTCAGTATGGAGAGGTAGGCAACAGTAGGGACATGTCGGCAATAGTTGGGACATGTCGGCAACATTAGGGTCAGGTAGGCAAAGTGTAGGGACATGTCGGCAACAGTAGTGACATGTTGGGAACCGTTGGGACATGTCGGCAACAGGCAGGGCAGGTTGGCAACAGTTGGGACATGTCGGCAACAGTAAGGACAGGTCGGCAACATTAGGGACATGTCGGCAACAGTAGGGAGATGTCGACAACACATCAGTGTAGCAAAGAAGTATGAATTACGGACCACAATAGTTCACTTTATGAAAACTAACTAGTTTCCATCCATTGTGATGGTGCTGGGCGCTCCATTGAAACACCGGGCTACAGCTGATCGGGATTCAACTGCCTGCATGCGGCCTTTGACCTTGATTCTTTGCACTTCTGTTAATCTTGGCATGTTGTTGAACTGTCACTGTTCGATTGACGCAGATGTCAGGCAATGGAAAACCCTGTACTTTAACACCGTTCATAGTGCTCCTGCACGTGCAATACGTGCAGCTTCAAGGCCAAATGATCACAAAAGGCAGGACAGGTTGGCAACAGTTGGGACATGTCGGCAACATTAAGGACAGGTCGGCAACAGTTTGGACATGTCGGCAACAGAAGGGACATGTCGGCAACAGTAGGTAAAGGCCGGTTTCAGTATGGAGAGGTAGGCAACAGTAGGGACATGTCGGCAATAGTTCGGACATGTCTGCAACAGTAGGGTCAGGTAGGCAAAGTGTAGGGACATGTCGGCTACAGTAGTGACATGTTGGGAACCGTTGGGACATGTCGGCAACAGTAAGGACAGGTCGGGAACACTTCTGACAGCTCGGCAACAGTTGGGACATGTCGACAACAGTAACGACAGGTCAAAAACACTAGGGACATGTTGGCAAGAGTAGAGAGATGTCGGCAAAAATAGGTAAGGGTCGGCATCATTATGGAAAGGTCGGCAACAGTTTGGACAAGTTGGCAACAGTTGGGATATGTCGGCAGCAGTAAGGACATGTCGGCAACAGTAGGGACATGTCGGCAAATGTGGGGACATGTCGGCAGCAGTAAGGAGAGGTCTGCAACAGTTGGGACATGTCGGCAACAGTTGGGACATGTCGGCAACAGTAAGGACAGGTTGGCAACGGTTGGGACATGTCGGCAACAGGCAGGACAGGCAGGACAGGCAGGACAGTTTGGCAACAGTACGGATATGTCGGCAACAGTAGGGACATGTCGGCAACAATAAGCACAGGTCGGCAACAGTCGGGACATGTCGCCAAGAGTAGGGACATGTTGGCAACAGTAGTGACATGTCGGCAGCAGTAAGGAAAGGTCTGCAACAGTTGGGACATGTCGGCAACAGTAGTGACATGTCGGCAAATGTGGGGACATGTCGGCAGCAGTTAGGAAAGGTCTGCAACAGTTGGGACATGTCGGCAACAGTTGCGACATGTTGGCAACACTGAGGACAGGTCGGCAACGGTTGGGACATGTCGGCAACAGGCAGGACAGGTTGGCAAAAGTAAGGACAGGTCGGCAACAGTTCGGACATGTCGGCAACAGTTCGGACATGTCGGCAACAGTAGGAAGATGTCGGCAACATTAGGTAAAGGCCGGTTTCAGTATGGAGAGTTCGGCAACAGTAAGGACATGTCGGCAACAGTAGGGACATGTCGGCAACAGTTGGGACATGTCGGCAGCAGTAAGGACATGTCTGCAACAGTTGGGACATGTCGGTAACAGTTGGGACAGGTCGGCCACAGTTTGGACATGTCGGCAACATTAGGTAAAGGTCGGTTTCAGTATGGAGAGGTCGGCAACAGTAGTGACATGTCGGCAACAGTAGGGACAGGTAGGGAAAGTGCAGGGACATGTTGGCAACAGTTGGGACATGTCAGCAACAGTTGGGATATGTCGTGAAGAGTAAGGACATGTCGGCATTAGTTGGGACATGGCAGCAACAGTAAGGACAGGTTGGCAACATTACGCACATGTTGGCGACAGTTGTGAGATGTCGGCAACAGTAAGGACAGGTTGGCAACAGTTGGGACGTGTCGGCAACAGTAGGTAAAAGTCAGCATTCGTTTGGAGAGATCGGCAACAGTTGTGACATGTCGGCAGCAGTAAGGACAGGTTGGCAACATTACGCACATGTCGGTGACACTTGTGACATGTCGGCAACAGTAAGGACAGGTTGGCAACAGTTGAGACAGGTTGGCAACAGTTGGGATATGTCGGCAACAGTAGGGACATGTCGGTAACAGTAAGGACATGTCGGCAACAGTTGGGTCGTGTTTGCAACAGTTGGGAAAAGTCGGGAACAGTAGGGACATGTTGGCAACATTTGGGACATGTTGGCAACAGTTGGAATATGTCGGCAACAGTAGAGACATGTCGGCAACATTTGGGACATGTCGGCAACAGTTGGGACATGTTTGCTTTAGTTGGGACATGTCGGCAACAGTAGGGACATGTCGGCAACAGAAAGGAAAGGTCGGCATCAGTAATGACAAGTTGATAACAAGGACAGGTCGGTAACAGTAAGGAAAGGTTGGTAACAGTAAGGACAGGTCGGTAACAGTAAGGACAGGTCGGTAACATGTAATTACAGTTCAGACACACGAAACGTACACACATACGCAAGGCACTGCACTGAGCACACATGCATACGAACGTACTTTAAAGGCTTGATCAAACGTCAGTTTTCAAATTATTGACTTAAAGAATAGGTATAGTGAGTTTTGTACAGACGTGGTCAATATAGTCAAAGGCAGCAAGTGTTGTCAATGTCGAGATACGTACATGTAGATTTGACGGTAATACATTGAACCGGTATCTTGCACGAAGGTAACGCAACTCTTCATTTAATACAAGGTGTTCCTCTGCATTCACCCAGGGTCTACTCATAATGGCGAAGTGTGTCAACACAAAGCCCACTGGCGGCCTTACGTGTATTTCAGGAAACGGGTGAACTCGCCCACAGAAGAGTGAGGTCTGACAGAAGCAACATTGTTTTGACATTCACCCGCATTTGAATCTCTTTCGTCATTTTATCGAGACGGTTATTCTCAGGCTTCGACGTTTTGTATTTATCAACTCGCATGTTCTATTCCTGGTTTTGGTAGTGTTGCAGTAACGTTTTGGCCATCAATCTGACATTGGTCCTACATATTATCGGCATGAACGGGAGTAATCCCGGGTATTGCCTCCGTATTTGGAAACTGCTCGTTCTTCCACCCAGTGTCATGCATCATGCACCCGCAAACAGAACAGCTCACAACCGACAAGCACTTTCCATCAAAAGTTAAATACAACCGCCCTTTATATTACTGCTGGCAAACGCACAAAGAATAAACATGGGCCGAGAGCTACATATTGGGTTATTGTGTATTTTCTGTGGATGACCTCCTGACGGTAATAAGAGAGAAAATATGTAATGTTCAGTAGTATGTATTTAGTTATCTCAAAATGTTCAACTGACTTCTCATGCGAGTGAAATATTATTTAATGCTGGATTCGTCTTGTCATATAATTGTTCATCCAATCTCGTGACCTGAGGTTGCGTTGACTGCTCCATAAATATCGACTTTGTGAGGTCACTCAAGGAGATAAACATGCCAGTTAAACACGCAAAGATAACAGACACTTAAACAATTGAAATAAATTTAAAGTGTCCTATATCCTTTAAACATCCTACTACATTTCAACATTATTTGAACTTGATTGCCACTTACGCATTTTCCGCAAGTCCGTCAACACTGTGGAACTGGAGGAGACATAAGACAATACCACAGAGTACCAGCTTCATCGCCATCCTTCACCACTCACCTCTTTCCCGTCAACTGAACAGCCGCTATCCAGAACTCCTTAACCAGGAAGTTGTGAAGTTACCAGGGGCAACTTGCATGCTCCCGACATACCTGGAACCTTTGACTGCATTGACGGTTACATCTGAGTTATGCGCATAAATGTATGCATGACTGCCGGCGTGGTGGTTCATGGTATGAAAAGGTTTCATTGTGCGGTAAACAACCCCCTCTCGTCGACTGCTGGTCAATTAGAGAAAACAGCCGCCGCGTTAGAGAAACGTCCTGTGGTCACGCTAACTTTATTGCTTGTATATCTTGTTTTTGCTAGAATATGATAAAGTAAAATTAAGTGAACGATATGATGTGTACACTGTACTTGGATGTTGTTTTAATGTTGTATTAAGCTTTCCTAATTCCCTGTTTCGGCTTACTGCATGAGTAATTTGCCACAGCCTAAATCACCTCGTGCACTGTCACACAATAGCCAGCCCAGGCGCTCCCCTTACTGCTCCTTTGTGTTCAACGTTGCAGCTAACAGTCTCCAGTTTAAAGGGTTTAGTTATATTACAGTTTGTATCACATTTGATGTTACAACCAGACGATCATACATATAGTATTTGACAATGTTGGACAATGTGGTATTCACAATTGGACAAGTCTCTGATTCATTCATTTGTAAAGGTTAGTCTGTAGTTGACATTTTATAGTTTGTACGCATTCCTAGGATTTGTAGGTATATTGTGTTTATGCTGTTGATCATGTGGCTATTTTGTCATGTTATCAATATTGAGATGCATCACGGTTGGTTAGTTTGTTGTTTAACGCCGCACTCAGCAATATTGCAGCTATATGACGGCGGTCTGTAAATAATCAAGTCTGGACCAGACAATCCAGTGATTAATATAATGAGCATCGATCCACGCAATTGGGATCATTGATCATTGCCTGACCTCCCGATCCTGCGGGTCGCCTTTTACGACTAGCACAGTCACTTTTTACGGCAAGCATGGGTTGCTGAAGACCTATTCTACCCCGGAATCTTCACGGGTCTGGATGCATCATGGTAACTAGTTGTGTTTCTGTATTCATTACAAGTGTTATTATTTACGTAAAGTAAATAATTCACCAAGCGCTAAGTTTAGGCATAATGTACCATTATCAAACTAAATCGTCAAGTATGAATGTTCGTGTGAACTATGAAAGAAAGAACGTGATACACACGTTTTGCTAGGATACATATTGATATATATGAATGTGAAATGTATGAATGTATAATGTATGAATGAATCAGGGTTTTACTATTATATTTTTTAAATGTTTTAATTTACTCTGCAATAACAAAATGTATCTGTGGTAGTAATCATGCTGCGATTTGCGATTTGATGGCAGCATATATTTATGTTTAATCTCAGGAATGTTTTACAATTGTTTCAGGGTTTAATTTATCAGCAATAAACTTGGCTATAACTGCGGTCAACATATGTATCTATCTTTCATGTCATGAAGCAGTCTCGGTTTCATACACACACACACACACACACACACACACACACGTGCATGCACGTCGCTATATAAGGGCAGTCATCTTCGACCCCATTTCACCTCCCCTCTGATGTGAAAAGCGTATTGGGGGAAGTTGTTACAGTACAATATGCTGGAGCAACAGGCTGTTGCACACCAGTTTCACAAAGAACCCTTTTCCACTTCACAGAAGGTCGGTGTTTACAGTGGTGGTCGTGAGCTACCAGGAAGTATACCAGGAAGACTTAAGGCCACATTTGAATATAATGAGTTACTGTTGTTGACATATTGTAAACACAGCATGGATAAATTTCTATATTTATGGCATAAACTATTGATTTTGTGATGGTGTTACATTATGTCTGTTAACAATAAGAAGGGAATTTTCACATGCAATGATAAAAAAGATAATTTATTCCATGTCTACAAAATATATACAGGTCACGGGATAAAATACACGTGATGAGCCATCCCGTATGGGATTATGAGAGACTATAGAACGTAAAATGATACACAGACATAAAATATGGAATAAATATATGTACGTTAGTAAAAAGGGTAAATAGCATAAAATATTTATAAAAGCTTAAGATGTATATAAAAGTAATTTTCTAACATCTCAGACATCCATGCATGTTTTGGCAGTAACTTAAAAAATATATGGGCATGACATAATAAAAGCTAACTGATCAACGTCAGGCATATCATAAAAATTGGCATTTAACGTTGAACATAAAACTAACATATTTTTAGTAACATGTTTATATAGGGGGCAGTGTAAAAGTACATGTGCTTCATTTTTCACAACATCTTTACAATTAAAACATACTCTCTCTTCAAGGGGTGTATTATTATATCGCCCTGTCTTCACATGTAAGGGGGCTACTCCACATCGGAACAACGACAGGGATCTTCCGTGGCGTCGGGGTATTCTCTCTGTGATGTATGGCTCAGCAGTAAACTCGGTCTTGAAAGCAGAGTAGTGTCTAAGTTTGTTACCTCCCTTGCCAGTCTTACTGTGAGTACAAGCTATCGTCTGTTTCCAGTCCCGCATATGTTGGTCGTAAACTGCTTCCCTGACCCTGGCGACATTCTGTTTAATGTAGGTGCCGTTTGAAACTTCTTCTAATTCCAATAAGTTGAGTGCCTTTAGTTTGTGTCGTATCCGCTTGATCCAGTTTATATTTCTATGGGCTTGTGTCTTTGTCCATTGGAAGATCTTGTATGTAAGACGATTTCTGCTGAGGCTTTTCATTCTAGTATATAAACGTATTGCACTTCCCCAAAGCTTGACAGGCGTGGGTGTCCATCCCATATCCCCCTCAACAGCAGCGTTAGGAGCTGATTTTCGAAGGCTCATAAAAAACTTCATTGCTCTGTTTTGTACAGTTTTTATAGACGGTTGGTTCCTTGTCCCCCATAAAGCTGATCCGTATTCGACCGGCGACCATACCATGGTGTCGTACATCTTGGTATATGTACCTATATGCATCCCTCAAATCGCCTTGAACTTCGAGATGAGTAGTCCCATTGCGCGTGTGGTAGAACTTAAAACAGCTTTCTCCATGCGTGAATAGTCTAAAAACTCTGTAATCAGGAGTCCAAGGTACCTATAATTGTCCGTAAGATCTAAGATAATTGTTCCACAGGGAAATTCTTGATCAGTTCTTGGCGTCGATAAACATCTGCAATGAATAACTTTAGATTTTTCCTGATTCACCGACATCGTGTTAACACATCACTAATTATTGAGACAGTCTAATAGAACATGTCTCCATCTCTAGTTACACCGATATCCAGTCCCTTCAGTGTGATAATCAAGCCATGTATATACATGTTAAATAATAAAGCGGATAGTAGGCACCCCTGTTTAAGACCGCACTGTACATTAAACCATTTGGAGAGGTTCCCGTTTATCCTGATGCATGATTTCACGTTCTTATATAACGATTGAAGAGCAACATATATTATTCCATTAATACCAGCTTGTGAAAGTCGTTTCCATAGAATATCTCAGTTTATTGTGTCATACGCCTTTTTAAAATCTATAAAAGCTAAAAACGTTGATTTCCTGAGCGATTTCCCTTGACTCCATTATAGAGGTGAGTGATGATAGGTGTTCTACAGTTGATCGTCCTTTCCTGAAACCGTTCTGTTCGTCTGCTATGATGTCGTTGTTTTCTGCATACTTATACAATCGGGCATTTAAAACAGAACAATACAGTTTATAGCTTGAGTTCGTGAGTGATATCCCTCTGTATGATAACGGGTCGTACTTGTCAACAACTGATGATTTTGGGATTGGATTTATTATACCTTTCGTCCATTCTGTAGGCATTATTCCATTTACAAAACACAGGTTAAAAAGTTTATGAAGAAACTGGATACAGTTGGTAGTTTTCATAACATCAGTGGGGATGTTATCACTACCAGGAGACTTATTTCTGCTTTCTGATCTTACCGCCTCAAACACTTCCTCGTATGTAAATGTTTTATTGATCGCGAGGCTGTCTGCATCATGAGAAGGTCCCTCTTCTTCACCTGGGCTGACTTCCTCCTCGGGGGTATTTGAAGTCTCACCATTCAGTAGAACACTGTACTTGTCTCTCCAGGTGTTCAGCACAGTCTCTATCAGCAGATAGACTGCCGTCCTCTAGTCTCACCTCCATTGGTACAGATTGAATTCTGTTGTATCCCACCCCTATCTTTCCAATCTTCTTAAAAAAATCGTTCTTCTTTTCTTCACATAGGTTTTCCAGCTCAAACAGGCATTCTGTGTTATCGTTACGTTTACATTTTCTTGTCTCCTTGTCTAATATCTTCCTTTTATGAGTGAATATCTCACGAAGACGGCGTTTTCTAACTGTTTTACACTTTACACCATTCACGTTCTGCCTTACACATGTCAGTCCACAGTTCGTTAAGTGTATTATTCCACCATGGTTTCTTCCTCAACCGCCTCCTCTTGTTAGGTCCCCATGTAAAGGTGAGTTTTCTGTTAGGTAGAGTTCGGTCCATTTCCTCTCTCACTGTACAAGTAAAACTATTGTAGGCATTAATATCAGATTGATGACAGCGAGAAGCTTCCAGTTTATTGATGGTTTCATGAAGTATATGTTCACAGTTAGTTGAACTCATAAAAGTGTCAGGCTCAGTTGATTCATCATATTTAGTCATACACTGAGAATTGGTCACGCATTCTTGAACATGATCACTTATAGACACAGACGGTAGTTTCACAATCCATGATAGAAGCGAATGGTCCAGTTTGGTTATGGCTTGACCACTGACACACCCTACACACCCCGCTGCTTCCACCAGGTCAGATACACGTGTCACCTTGAAATCTGATATACTATTCACATTCTCATATGGAAATATACAATAATCGACAACAGATGCCCCCTTGCATGAAACACAAGTAAAGTAATTCTTTTCATTATTTCTACCATTTGAAATACAAAAATTTGCACTGATAAGGAAA